TTTCCCCACTGAGGCTGCAAGATGTCAGAGGAGCCATGCCCTGGCCAGTAACTGGAGCCGGTTCCACCAGATGTCCTCATATGGACCTCACTGCTGCCCCCCCCACCCAACCCTCCTGTCGTGCCCAGAAAGCTGACACTGCTCACTTCCAAGGAGGAGTTCTGAATGGAACCCCATGGTTTATCTCAGAGCATATTTTGAAGGGTGCATTCAGAGCTGAAAGGCAATCATTGATAATGGACACAGACATCCATCATGAAAGTTAACAATCTGTGTAAGAGCTGCCTGTTTCACGTCGTTTGTTCATTTATTTAACAAAAAGTTATTGTCTGCCTAATATGTGTCGGGCACAGTTGAGTATCGGGATCTAGGTTCCTATTCCCTGGTTCATATATTCTGGTAAGAATCTGCCCACTAATCACTACAATGTCCTGGGAACAACCCTGGAGGCATTGGAACCTGGACTTTAAGCCACTGCTCTGCAAATATTTAGCTGGGCACTCTCAAGCAAGTCACTTGGCTTCTCTGGGCCTGGTGCTCCATACGCTTCCATTTCCATATCTAAGACACCATGGGTTACTCACTCACTCACTTAAGTTGGCCTCTGCTTCCCAGACTGCCAACTGCTAAGGGTGGGATTCTTTTCAACTTTATATTTCCATCCCCAGCACATCACATAGTTTCAGCTGTCACCCACCACCTTACATTTTTTGCCACTGGGATATTTTAGCAAGCAAATTGGCTTTTGTTTTTTCCCCTACTTACAATGTTAAATGACCCCACAGCTGGCAGAAGTCCTCTGAGGCTGGCCTGTGAGAATCTGACCCCTATGTGGCCTGTAGCTCCTATCTTCATCACTCTTCCCAAAAACTTCCTCCCACAACTCTCACACTGTAAAAGTGGGTGCGAGGCTGCATTAGTCTGCTCTTGCACTGCTGTAATTACCCACGTCATCCTGGTCCAGGAAGCATCTCTGCATATGTGAGTGTAACCGTTCTCTACCTGGATGATCCCTTTGTCTATCCGACAAATTCCTGTAGATCCTTCAGGCTCAGATTCTCTGTACCTTCCCTGGGAAATCTTCTGTATTAGTCCGTTTTCATGCTGCTGATAAGGGCATATCCGAGACTGCGTAATTTATAAAGAAAAAGAGGTTTAATGGATTCGCAGTTCCTTCACGTGGCTGGGGAGGCCTCACAATCATGGTGGAAGGTGAAAGGCACGTCTTACATGACAGCAGACAAGACAGAATGAGAGCCAAGTCAAAGGGGGAACCCCTTATCAAACCATCAGATCTCATGAGGCTTATTCATACTGTGAGAACAGTATGGGGAAAACTGCCCTCACGATTCAATTATCTCCCACTGGGTCCTTCCCACAACACGTAGAAATTATGGGAGTATAATTCAAGGTGAGATTTGGGTGGGGACAAAGACAAACCTTATCACCTTTCTTCACTTGCTGGGACCTGCCCCTCTTCAGACCTCTTACTTCTCCCTAAGGGTCTCCTTCAGTGTGCTTCACTAGCATCATTTGCAAAGCTGCAGCATAATACCACTGATCAAAAAATAGTTTATTTATTTATATTATTATTATTATGAAGATGTGGTTTCATTCTAGTTGCCCAGGCTGGAGTGCAATAGCACGATCTCAGCTCACTGCAACCTCACTGCCTCCCAGTTCAAGGGATTCTCCTGCCTCAGCCTCCAGAGTAGCTGGGATTACATGCACATATTTTTAGTAGAGACAGGGTTTCTTCATTTTGGCCGGGCTGGTCTCAAATTCCTGACGTCAGGTGATCTGCCTGCTTTGGCCTCCCAATTACAGGAGTGAGGCACAGCACCTGGCCCCAAATATACATATATATATATATATATATATATATATATATATATAAAATTTTTATTTTTTGAGATGGAGTGTTGCTTCTGTTGCCCAGGCTGAAGTGCAATTGCACCATGTCGGCTCACAGCAACCTCTGCCTCCTGGGTTGAAGCGATTCTCCTGCTTCAGCCTCCCAAGTAACTGGGATTACAGGCAGCCCCCATCACACCCAGCTAATTTTTGTATTTTTAGTAGAGATGAGATTTCTCCATGTTGGCCAGGCTGGTCTCAAACTCCTGACCTCAGGTGATCTGCCTGCCTCAGCCTCCCAAAGTGCTGGGATTACAGGTGTGAGCGACCACGATTGTCAAAATATTTTTTTAAAGATATATTTCCTGATAGAGTTTAATTTGCCTGGGTCTCCAATAAGCTGGGTAATTTCCTCAAATTACAGATTTCATGGTTTTCATTGTCTGTATGAAGGTTTGGGAGGGAGTAATTATGTCTCTCCCCTAAGATATGTAACTTGAATAATTTCTTTTTCTTTTTTTTTTTTTTTAGACGGAGTCTCTCTCTGCTGCCCAGGCTGGGATGCAGTGGCACGACCTTATCTCACTGCAACCTCTGTTTCCCAGGTTCAAGTGATTCTCGTGCCTCAGCCACCTGAGCAGATGAAACCACAGGTGCCTGCCACCATGCCTGGCTAATTTTTGTATTTTTAGTAGAGACGAGATTTCGCCATAATGCCCAGGTTGGCCTCAAACTAATGAGCTCAGGCAATCCACCCGCCTCAGCCTCCCAAAGTGATAGAATTATAAGTGTGAGCCACCTCTCCTGGCCTAATTTTTGTTAATTTAAAAAAGACTTTTCTGAACACAAGCTGGCATTTTGTCCAGATGGATGTGTAGCCTGCAGTTCTGAACTTTTGGCCATATGCACCAGTGGGCTTTCATTTCAGCCCTGCCGCTTTCTCCCTGGATGTCTTCTTATCGTGAGTTGTATAGTATGTGCAAAAATCTGCATTTCATTTCATGATTATCTGCCTCACATCAGAAAATACACAACAAACCTACTGTCCCTGCAAAAGCTACCGCACAGTTCTGGGGACATAGTACATGCCCAGCAAACACAGATAGGTGCCTACATTTCACTTCTAGAAGTTATAAATGGCACTGGGACAGAAGGTCTACCTAAGAAGACATTCCAGATGGCTGTTCCCAAGGGTTCTACTATACCTGGGCTTTGGCTCACTTTATTAAATAGTAGCATCTAGTTTTGAGCTGGTGTGTAACTTTCTTTCTTTCTTTCTTTCTTTTGAGATGGAGTCTCACTCTGTCACCAGGCTGGAGTGCGATGGCGCGATCTCAGCTCACTGCAACTTCCATTTTCTGGTTTCAAGCGATTCTCCGGCCTCAGCCTCACGAGTAGCTGGGACTACAGGCAGCACCACCATGCCCGGCTAATTTTTTTTGTATTTTTAGTAGACATGGGGTTTCACCATGTTGGCCAGGATGGTCTCAATCTCTTGACCTCGTGATCTGCCTGCCTTGGCCTCCCAAAGTGCTGAGATTACAGGCATGAGCCACCGCACCAGGCTGTAACTCTTTCTTTCATGTGAAAATCATCCGATTCTTTCAAATGACTGTATTTACTTTTTCTTTTTTATTTTATTTTATTTTTGAGACAGGGTCTGGCTGTGTTGCCCAGGCTGGAGTGCAGTGGTACGATCTCATCTCACTGCAACCTCTACCTCCTGGGTTCAAGCAATTCTCCAGCCTCAGCCTCCCGAGTAGCTGGGATTACAAGGCGTGGTCAACACACCCGGTTAATTTTTGCGTTTTTAGTAGAGACAGGGTTTCACCACGATGGCCAGGCTGGTCTCAAACTCCTGACCTCAAGTGATCCGCCCACCTCAGCCTTCCCAAAATGCTGGGATTATAAGCATGAGCCACCGCGCCCAGCCTGCATTTATTTTTTTCTGTGTGTTTGTGCAGATGGGATCTCACTATGTTGCCCAGGCTGGCCTTGAACTCCTAGTCTCAAGCGATCCTCCCTCCTAGGCCTCCCGAGTTTCTGGGATTACAGGCGTGAGCCACTGCAGCCAGCCCTGTATTTACTGTTTGACAGACAGTATGTGATTATAGTGAGTGAAATATCCAAGGAACCCAAGACTTCTTACGGGCTTGGTAGTGCATGGGTTTCCAGGGCTGAGACCCAACCTTCCAGGGTTTTGCTTTTGTTTTGTTCTCATGCTCACTTACTCATCTAATCTGTCATTGTGATCAAGTAGCTGGAGTCCTCAGAGAAGAGTGTCCACATAGTGCCATGTTAGCCAAGAGATAAGGAATCCGAGGGCAGATGAGCAAAGAGAAGCAAACTCATGCTGGTTTGTCCTTGCTGAGACCATGAAGGTTAAATGTATGTTGGCATTTTAATAAAAATCATTAAATCCTGCATCTTAGGGATGGAGAGAATAACTCTCCCAAATCAAAATACAGACCATGGAAAAGGCAAATCTTTAATTTGAGGAAGCTCGCTCAGCTTATGGGAGCCCCAAACAAATTAAACAATAAATCTGTCCTTAAGAAAATATTCTGGCCGGGTGCGGTGGCTCATACCTGTAATTCTAGCACTTTGGGAAGCCGAGATGGGGGGATCACTTGAGGCCAGGAGTTCCAGACCAGCCTGGGCAACCTAACATGACTCTATACAAAATACACAGAATTAGCCAAGCATGGTGGCATGTGCCTGTAGTCCCAGCTACTTGGGAGGCTAAGGTAGGAGGATCACTTGGGCCAGGGTAGCTGAGGCTGCAGCGAGCTATGGCCACACCACTGCACTCCAGCCTAGGCAACAGAGCTAGACCCTACCTTGAAAATAGAATAAATGTAATGTAATATAATATAATTAATATATCAAACAATAAAAAATAAATGTTCTGTTTCCAAAGCGTCTTTGTGACTTAGCAGGTTAATTTCAGACTTATTACAGAAGTTGACAGACACAATTCCTCTCCCAGCTCCATTCATTTATATCTACGAGTGAACTGGCCACACTGCTGCCTCCCTGTGATGTCTATTGGAGTTAATAAGTGAATGCAGAGAAAGCTGGGAGTGCCCAGTCATTTGGGCCGGCCCCCAGCCTCTGTCTGGCCGGCTCCTTTAGTTCAGACTTACATTTGTGAGCTTTCAGCTTCTTCTCGTCCACGGGAATGAGGTCCAGATAGTCCAGGTAGTATTCATAGCTGTAGTATGGGGCAGAGACATTGGTCCCGTTGGCCATGTCTGTGGCACTGGACAGTCAGTGTCCAGGCCAGCAGCCTTGCCTCTGGAGCCAGGCGCCAAGCCCCTGGGAGGAGATTGCCTCACTGATGTCAGTAGGAATCGTCCAAGTGTGTCTGTGGGTCTCCAGACTCAAGGCCTGCCCACTTATCAGAGCCGTTTGGCTGGAAGAAAGGTCAGGGGGGTGTGCCTCACATCTCCAGCGTCCAGCAGAGTCTCCTGTTCTGCCCCTTCTTGTTAAAACTCCAAGGCAAACAGAGCAGAGAGGTGGGAGAACAGCTAACCAGGGCAGCTCTGGGATGCCTCTCTGTGTAAGAAGAGGCAGCCGGGCAGGAAATAGATGCCCAGGGCCCCTTAGAAGATGCCCAATAGGGCTAGAAAGACAATTGCTTTTTGCCTTAAGTACTTGAAAAGTTAAAAAACAAAACAAACAAAATGCAAGCACAGCGGTGCCCTTGACTTACATTTCAGCAATTTTTGGTGCTATTGAGCAATCACCAACCCGCTGGCTTAGATTCAATATCTTAAGGCAGAAACAGAGTGATGTCATTCCTGAACTTGTAAACCCCTGGCATGTCCTCACAGCCAGTTAATTAAAACCAGAAGAGAGCCCCCTGCCCCAACAGGATGCACCTCTCTGCTTTTATCTAAGCCCCCAAGAACCAGCCAGCAGGCTGCATTTCTTCAGACTCAAAAGGCTGTTTATCTGAGCCACGACCCCATGTGGTTCGAGCTCTTGGGAAACAGAGTCCACTCAGTGCTTGGCTGACACCCCACGTGACACAGATTCTTCTGGGTTTCTGTAGGGTTTGACTCCGAATAATACACCCTCTTCTAAGATCCTTGGACACTAACAAGAAGAACATTCGGAACGTCTGGAATGTGCAGGGCCACATGTGAGAGGAACCCTAGAATTTAGCCTTTGAGAATTGGAAAGCCAAAACACACAGCGTAGGTGGCCTTTCCCTCCAATATGCCCAGCTTTCTTGTGTTCTTGATTCAGGTCTACGCTGTCAGAACAAAGCTGGGTATTGACAGTGTAGACAGTCCACCCAGATAACTCGAGCCCCTCTGCTGGTTTTGCTATGGTCTGCCATGCCTGAGGTGTCCCTTGGGGGGCACTTTAAGGGCAGTTCAGTTGACCAGAAGGGGAGGAATGAAGTTCTTGTGTTTCCAAAGTGAGGGGCAAAAAATCCACTTGAAAAGTGATATAAAACCCCTGCTCCCTCTACACTCCACACTCTGACACCAGATGTGGGAAGTGGAAAAAGTTCCTTTTTAAGGTTTCCTTTATTGTTTTTTTTTTTTTTTTTTTTTTTTTTTTTTTTTTTTATTTTTTTTTTTTAAAAAAAAATTTTTTTTTTTTCCTTTATTGTTTTTTTTTTTTTTTTTTTTTTTTTTTTTTTTTGAGACGGAGTTTCGCTCTTGTTACCCAGGCTGGAGTGCAATGGCGCGATCCCGGCTCACCGCACCCTCCGCCTCCTGGTTTCAGGCAATTCTCCTGCCTCAGCCTCCTGAGTCGCTGGGATTACAGGCATGCACCACCATGCCCAGCTATTTTTTGTATTTTTAGTAGAGACGAGGTTTCACCATGTTGACCAGGATGGTCTCGATCTCTTGACCTCGTGATCCACCCGCCTCGGCCTCCCACAGTGCTGGGATTACAGGCTTGAGCCACCGCGCCCGGTCGGTTTCCTTTATTGTTAAAGAATAAGTGTGCTAATAACTTTGTGAAGCCCTATCCTACGTAGCCGTTAGACAAGCCATGCTTGCAGGCACGTAGTACATTCTACGTCCTTGTACTGTAACCAAGATATCTGTGCCGGACGTGCTCACAGGCATGTCCCTGCTCTCCATTGCTTTTACCTGTTTAGAAAAGTTTTAAGTTGTTAGCCAATTGGGTATTAGTAAGATTGTGAGGTGTGACTCCAACCAACGGAGATCAGACACAGCAGTAAGGATGACGCCAAATGCGTAAGAAATAAAGTTGTGTGTTTCCCTTTGTTCTTTGTACTCTCATGGCATGATGGTTACCCGGAGTACCCTTCCTGCAGTCCAGGGAGTAAAAATTGCATTGGCTGAAAGATCCTTTGTCTCAGTGCTGATTTTTCTTTGCGGCACCGAGCGTCTATTTCCAACATCTATTTCCAACACCAGACGTGGGTTTTTCCATACAAAGCAGTTTCCTATTCTTGGCAGCCACCGACTGGGTGTCCTACAGTGTAACTCAACCCTGACATTATGTCATTTGCTAGAATGGCTCACACACATAACTCAGGACAGTGTACTTACCAGATGACTGGTTTGTCATAAAAGCATACAACTCAGGAACAGCCACATGGAAGAGACATGGGGCAAGGTATGGGAAGGGGTATGGATTTTTCCATGCCTGACCCAGGTGGACAACGTCCAGCACCTCAAAGTGGCCAGATGTTTCTGAGTATACTACTGTACACATGCCTCCCAGGTGTGTACAACACTGCAAATCACACCACTATTCTGGGCTGAATTGTGCTCCCCCAAAATTCCTAAGTTGAAGCCTTCACCCTCAGTATCTCAGAATGTGACTGCATTTGAAGATAGGATCTTTAAAGAGATAATTAGGTTAAAAAGCCAGGATAATGGTTCTAATCCAAGATGACTGGTGTCTTGTAAGAAGAGGAGACTGGGATACCCCCAAGGCACAGAAAGATGGTGATGTGAAGACCTAGGGAGGAGATGCCCATTGACAATTGCAAAGGGGCCTCAGAATGAAACTAGGCCCACTTATTCCTTCATCTTGCACTTCTAGCCTCCAGAATTGTGAGGAAACACATTTCTAATTTTCTCTTTTTTTTTTTCTTTGTCTCAGACAACTTTTTTTACATTGTGAATTACAGGCATGTGCCAACACGCTCAGCTCATTTTTGCATTTTTAGTAGAGACGGGGTTTCTCCATGTTGGCCAGGCTGGTCTCAAACTCCTGACCTCAGGTGATCTGCCCGTCTCGGCCTTCCAAAGTGCTGGAATTACAGGCATAAGCCACCGTGCCTGGCCTATTTTTATTTTTTATTTTTTAAGACAGAGTTTTGCTCTGTCACTCAGGCTGGAGTGCAGTTACACAATCTCGGCTCACTGCAACCTCTTCCTCCTGGGTTCAAGCAATTCTGGCTCAGCATCCCTAGTAGCTTGGACTACAGATGTACACCACCATGCCCGGCTAATTTTTATATTTTTAGTAAAGACAGGGTTTCACCATAGTGGTCAGGCTGGTCTCAAAGTCCTGACCTCAGGTGATCCACCCACCTTGGCCTCCCAAAGTGCTGGGATTACAGGCATGAGCCACTGTGCCCAACCTTTTTTTTTTTTTTGAGATGGAGTCTTGCTCCGTTGTCCACGCTGGAGTGCAGTGGCATGATCTTGGTTCACTCCAACCTCTGCCTCCTGGGTTCAAGTGATTCTCCTGCCTCAGCCTCCCAAGTAGTTGAGATTACAGGCATGTGCCACCATGCCTGGCTAATTTTTGTGTTTTTAGTAGAGACAGCGTTTCTCCATGTTGGCCAGGCTGGTCCTGAACTCCTGACCTCAGGAGATCCTCCTGCCTCGGCCTCCCGAAATGCTGGGATTACAGGCCTGAGCCACAATGCCCGGCCACATTTTTTTTGCTTAAGACACCTACTCTGTGGGACTTTGGGGTACTAGGGCAGACCAAGCGGACTAATACTGTGACAATGGGTAGCTATTCAGGTATGAGCAAGGCAGGAGAGGGCTCCCCTACATACACAGTTGTTAACTGTCTCTCTAAAGTGATAATTGGTCACAGGTGGTGCCGTGGAAAGGCAGGCTCCCAATAGAGAGAAAACACCTAAAACTGGTCAGCAGCTTCCTGATAGGATCTCAGGAGTCGGGCGAGTGGGCTCAAGCAGCGCATGTGCACAGCCCGCCCCTAGGGAAGAATCAAGGGAGAAATAAGGCAAGACTCCGGAAGTATGTCCACATATAAAGCCCCAAGTCAAAAGGTCCCGCTGTGCACTTGATCTCTCCAGCTGCCCGCTTGGCCCTCTTCCACATATACTTCTTTTGTTCCTGCTCTAAAGCTTTTGAATAAACTTTCACTCCTGTTCTAAAACTTGCTGACGCCCCTTAGTCGAATTCTTCCTTCTGAGGAGGCAAGAACTGAAGTTGCTGCGGACCCGTGTGAAGCTGCTGCGGACCCGTGTGAAGCTGCTGCGGACCCGTGTGAAGCTGCTGCGGTCCCGTGTGAAGTTGCTGCCAGTAGCAATAACACTATCCATCATCTAGATCTGGTTTCCTTGGATGGAGTACTATATTCAACAGTTGCAGAATACACATTATTTTTAAGTGTAATTTATGTGCTTTTTTGATACTGTGATAAATGTTTTCTGTTAGTGTCAAAACTTATAAAATACATAGGAAGAAAATTAACTCGATATGTAAGAGTAAAACCTGCAAGATGTTACTGAGAGAGATTAAATAAGACCTAAAATATGGAGAGAGATACCAGTTTATGGTGTGAAAAATTCGGTATTATTAAGATGTTAAATGTCCCCAAATTGATCACGTTCACTGCAGTTCAAATCATTATCCCAGCTGTTTTAACCACTATAGAAATGGACATATTCATAATAACATTTGGCTGAAATTTAAAACTTTTCTTTATCAAAATAAATTACTAAGAAAATGAATAGGCAAGCCACATACTGGAAAGAAATAAAGTTTAAAATTAAGTATCTACTAAGAAATTTATACCTGGAATATATACATCAATAATTCAAAGGCAGATAGCCCAATTTAAAAAATGGCAGTAGACTTGAACAGATACTTTACCGGAAAGATATGTGAACAGCCCATACACACATGAAAAATCCTCAAAGTCAATAGTCATCCGGGAGAGGCAAATAAAACAGGAGATACCTCCACAGAATGGGCAAAATTAAAAAGACCTTCCTATTTTCCAGTTGACCATAATTTTATTAGTTTGGAATTTTTACTTCCATCTGACAAAATACTGATTATTAAGTTGAATTTATTTGTCTGATAGTAACCTTGATTTTAAAATATTCATGATGGATAAGCAGAGACTAACCAGAAAAAAAAATCCATGCAAGTACCCTAGTAGAAAAACAATTTTTAAAAAATGTTGCCCCTTTGACATTAGTAAGAAGTGATACTGCCATCAAGGTTAACTCTCTAAGATAATAATGACATATTTATATTAACAAATACCTCAAAGACCTTGGCTGCTAGCATTGTTTTTCTTCTCCCTTTAATTTGTAACCCAAAGCTTGAAGGTGAAAACGTTTTTTCTAGGATGTTTTCTATTACGTTAGTGATCATCGCAACTACAGATTGAGTGTGGAGAGAAAGACAGAAGGGAGAGATCTAGAGAGGGAGATGGCACAAACGTTTATTGAACAATGACCTGGACAAGATGCTTTAGGTGATTCTCACAATACTGTGTCTCAGGTGGTGGGAAGCTCACTTTCCAGGCAGAGAGCTGAATACATCCAGATACAGCAGCCTGTAGGCCATGCTCTCCCCAGTACCCCTGAGTTTTGCAAACTGGGTGCGTTCATGTCCTATGGCTGCTGCAACACAGTACTATAAACTTGGTGGCTTAAACTAACACAGATCTGCCGGGCGTGGTGGCTCACGCCTGTAATCCCAGCACTTTAGGAGGCCGAGGCGGCGGATAACAAGGTCAAGAGTTCGAGATCAGCCTGACCAACATAGTCAAACCTTGTCTCTACTAAAAATACAAAAATTAGCTGGGTGTGGTGGCACACGTCTATAATCCCAGCTACTCAGGAGGCTGAGGCAGGAGAATTGCTTGAACCTGGGAGGCGGAGGTTGCAATGAATTGAGATCATGACACTATACTCCAGCCTGGGCGACAGAGTGAGACTCTGTCACCAAAGAATAAAGAAAGAAAAACAAAAACAAAAACACAGATTTGATATCTTACCTTATGTCAATTTCTTTTCTTTCTTTTTTTTTTTTTGCCTTACACTTTTGTAGGCCAGTAGTCTGAAATGAGTCTTATGGGGTTCAAACAAGATATTGCCAGGACTGGTTCCTTCTGGAGGCCCCAGGAGAGAATCTGTTTCCTTGTCCTTTCCAGCCTGGGGAGGCTGCCCTCATTCCTTGGTTCGTGGCCCCCACCACACTGCCATTCTCCCCTGCTTTCCTTATCACATCACCTTTTCCCTCTTCTGTACTCAACTCTCTCTTCCTCCAAAGCTCCTCTTCTTTTTTTTTTTTTTTTTTT